GTTTCCCTGTTCATCAGTTGGAGGACATTTGGGTTGTCTGCACACTTTGGCTGCTGTGAGTAATCCTGCTGTGAACACTCACGTACAGTTTGTGGCGTGGACAGTTTTCTTCTCTGTTGAGTGGGTCCCTGGGGTGGGACTGCTGCCAGCTCAGTGCTCCGTGCTCACCCTGTGAGGAGAGGATGCACGTTGTACCTTCCCACCCGCGGTGTATGAGGGTCTCTACTCCTTTTTAACTGTTTTCGTGTGTTTATTTTTCTTTTATCTTCTTCTCTTTAACTCATTTCCGCCCTCTGTGAACCACGTTGTATTTCCCAGTGTCTCTCTCCCTGTGCTGCTTCCAAGTTCAGCTTCCTCTTGGTGGTGGTTTGATTGATGTTTTTTCTTCTGGTTCTTTCCCGACTTCTGCCAGCTCAGGTTTCACCTTGTTTTCTTGCCACTTCTTTCCCTAGTCCTTGCACTTCTCGTCAGTAGTCTTTCTTCACGGAGGTGATTGCTTCACTGGGTTTTTAACGAGTATGGTGAAACATTCGGTCAGTTTCATCTGGGTCCTGACAATATTGTGCTGTCTTTCCCACACTTTGTGTTCTACCACGTTTCATCCATTTTAAGACACAGTTTTCTACATCTCTGAACTCTGGCAGTTCCTGCAGTCAACCTGACAAAACAGCAGAGCGTCCCTTTGGTTGGCAGCATCCTTTTCTTTCTGAGTGTCACTGACGTCATGGTGTGTCCTCCAGTCAGGGCCTTTTCCATGGTACCATGAGGTTCCCTCGCACCGGCCTAAGCCTGCCATCTTCCTGCTCCTTGTGAGTGCAGTGGGTGTCCTGGGTCCGCTCTTTACAGGGGCTGCCTGTAGCAGAAGGGGGGCCAGAGGAGCCTCCCAGGGCTCCCTCTTCTCTGCTGCCTCGTGGGCAGGCTTCTCCCACAAACAGGGCCATGGCGAGTGGCTCCAAGGCCCTACCGCCTCCCTCCTCTGAGCCTGGCTCCCTGTGCGTTTCCTCGGACTGCTCGCCGGCTCCCCTTCACATGGGTACGTGCCCACTCCCTGCCCGCTTCTGTCCTTCAGTGAGGCTCTGACTATCCCAGCCGCTTTCACAGCCCTCGTGCATAATTTTGGTGGCTTTGTGGGTTGTATCTGTGACCTATTTTCCCTGAAAATCAAGTTCAGGGAAAAGTTTTTTTTATTTGTTGTTTTTTTTATTTTCTGGAGAGGTGATAATGCTCACTTACCCGATCATGTTCCCTCAGAGAGATCCCCAGAGAGATTTGAGGGAAGAAAGAGCAAGACCTCTGTCTCTCTCCCTCTCTCCTCCTCTCTCTCTCTCCCTCTCTCCCCATCTCTCTGTCTGTCTGTCTGTCTGTCTGTCTGTCTCTGTCCCCCCCCGCCCTCTCTCTCTCTCTCACCCCACATTTGAGGAGCTCCTCCTCTCCAGGTCCCTCTGAGAAGCAGATTTGATGAGGACAGGCTCCCAACCTCAGGGTCTCCCCAGTGGGGCAGGTGGGAAAGAAAGGCCAGAGCGGCATCTCAGAGGAGAGGGCCTCATTTGGTCTTGGGGTGGGAGGTGTCCACAGGGTGGATGAATGGGGCCAGCAGAGAAGCCCTGGGAGGACAGCCTGGGCAGAGACGAGCCAGGGACTGAGCACAGCCCCCACAGGAGGGGAAGCAGGTGCTCCTGGGGTGCACAGAGTGGCCACGGGGGGAGATGAGGTGTCCCAGGGGGTGGGGGGATGCGGTGGCCTGCAGAGGACGCAGTCAGAGTCACCAGGCAGAGGCCGCTTGATCTTGGTGGCCTGGGGAGGGGCTGGTGTCATGCCCACCACTGCATTCCTTTGAGGAGATTGCCTCTTCAGGAGCCATATAAAGAACACGGGATGGCAAGAAAGCGAGTGTGTGGTCCTTCCTCTCAGGGTCAACGTCAACTCTGTCTCCTAAGAAAGGGCGCGTGATGTGTCCTTCCTGAAGACCAGGGTTTACCAGCTCCGTGTCTTGGGGTCTGCGCTGCAGTGGCGTGATTCCACCCTAGGGGGCGGGCTTGGCTCATCCACGGGGCTTGGTGCCCTGACCAGGAAAGGACTGAATGCTCAGAAAACCTCCTTAAGAGGGGAGTACGCAGTTTTGACATGGCATGCATCTTAACAGGACTGACTGTGTAGATGAGCAGTCTAGCAATTTTGAAAGTATGTTTCAATTTCAGTGCAGGCTGGTCAAGAGCTAGGCTGCGCTCGCTCGGCGCATGGAGACCAGGATCCAGACGTCAAGGGAGCCAGAGCGGGCTGTGACAATGGGCTGTGACCACCACCCCATGCTGCACTTAACGCAGGCGGGCCTGATAACCCACCAGAAAGCCTGAAATTTGCAAAGAATGTTTTTTCAATGCTGCAACTGAGCGTGATAAAAAAGTCTACCAGACAGAAAGAGTTTCTAAGGCCATAGCTGTTTGTCTGAAAAGTAATGATTTCTATTTGTCCTGAAAATTCTAGGGCTTGCACTAACTGAGCTGACTGATTTTTGCCACAGAATCTCAAGCTTCAAACCGCCCAAGCTCTTCCTCTGTCTGACATCTCAGTCAGTGGCAGCTTATCTTCTCAGTTGTTCAGTCGGTAAACCTCAGAGTCACCTCTCTCTCTCTCATGTCCCATGTCCCAGCCGTCAGTAAATCAGGTTGGCTCTGCCTTCAGATCAGATCCAGAACAGGCCCTCTCCAGCGCCTCCACCACTGCCACCAGGCCCAGGCCACCCTCCACCACCAGCCGCTTCCTGCCTCTGCGCCCGCTCTGCACAGCCAGAGATCTCAGCCCTCCCGCTCAGACCGTTCCAGGGCTCCCTCTACTCAGAGTCAAGACCAGAGCCCTTCCAGGGGCTGAGGCTGTCCTGGCCTGGCCTTTCCCAGCCACACTGGCCACCTGTTCCTCCCCAGCAAGGCCAGAGCGCCCAACCCAGGACCTTTGTGTCTGTGGCGTGTCTGCCTGGGCCACTCTTCTCCAGAGTAGCTGCAGCCCCACATTCCCTCCCTGGTCTCTGCACACTTCTCAGGGAGGCTGTTTTCACCCCTCTTATTTAAGGTCTCAAAATGCCCCAACAGCCCCCGTGTCCCTTTATGGCTTATCACCTAATGTACATCAACTTCTGCATCTTTTCCTCATTTCTTTGTCTGTTGCTGTCTTCCCTCCCGGGCACGTAAGCGCCACGGGGTGGGCAGGGATGTTTGTCTTTCCTCAGCTAGGGGCTATAGCCCTCTCCCTGGAAGACCGCCTGGCACATTGCACGAAGGAAGGAATTGGTTCAGGTGTCATGGATGATAATCAGCGTCAGCAGCAGCAGCTTCTTCTAAGTCGAGCCTTTTCATTCTGAAGCTCTTATTCCTTATCTCCATCAAAGATTGTAACTAAAATCCTGATTTACATTTCTTTTGTTGTCTAATTATGAAAGTTTTATCAGTCAAAGCTCATGCTGCAGCCTTCACTTTCTGACTTTCCACAGACAATTTGAAAAGGAAATCTGAAAGAGATAGCCAAGTTGGGCAAGAAATGGGTTTTCACCCACGTCCTCATTCTGGCTGCCCATTTTTGCCCCATGGGGGCTCAGCAATCAGGGATGCAGTTCCCTGTTCACCACCCAGTGTCCTCACCCCCAGGGTTGGCGGCACATAACCCTCCTCCTCTCTTCCCAGGTGTTCTTAGACATGGTCTGACGCTTCTCCACCCCCAGAGCCCTTGGCATTCCTTTCCTCCTAGGGACTTTTCTCTCAGACTGCTTTCAATTTCTAGGCCAAGCTTGTGTCATTTTAGAGGCCAGGATGCTTCCGGAACTCCTGTACCCTCTGTGTGTCTTTTGCTCAGGCAGGCCCGAAGGAAGCAATGCAGGTTCTCAGCTCTGACAAGGAAGCGGGCTCCTTTGCTTTGGCCTATTTGGGTCCATTGATAAAACCTACTGTTCAATAGTTTAGCCTCCTGCACGGGTTAGCCAGTGTGTGCTTCTCTCCCCTCCTGCATTTCCTTAGTATCATTTCCATTGTTCAGATTAAAGCACTTAAAGATCTGAGGCTGTCGAGGTGTGGGAAGCAGGGCGTGGCCAGGAGGAGAGCTTTGGCTATATCTGGGAATCAGACCTCCTGTCCTCCATCCTCCATGGACAGCAGGAGCTGGGGCCAAGTCCCACCTTCCTGTGGTCTCAGGAGCCCTTCAGCCACTCTCTCCACAGCTTCTCCTTTATATGCAGACAGGAATGTCAAGGAGAAGCTGGCATGAGGATCATGCGCGCTAATCTCTGAAAAGCCTCTCAGCAGCACACGGTCCGTACCCAGCGTTCAGTTCCGATTGCTTGGCGGGCGGGGCTCGGGGTATGGGGCTTGTGGCCTGGCAGAACGGCGAACCCAGCCACTCTGCCCTCCCCTGTGGTCCTGTCGCTGGACGCCTTCCACCTGACACCTCTCAATTCCAGGCCTGCGTGTCATCCCTCACACTTCAGTGACAGTGGGTTCTTTTGTGGAATGAGAGAGAAACCTTGCCCTCCTGAGTGACAGTCTCCAGGAGGCCAGCTGGCGCTGTCAGGGCTGGCGTCAGATCCAGAGGCCTTCCCATGGGAATCTGAGTCAGCAGTTCCCATGCAAGTCTTGCCTATGGAGCGTGCTCTTCACGTTTCACCTGCTCTGAAACCCTCTGTTCCCTTTGTCATGTTCTTCATCTGCCCTTTATCTCCGTCACTTGATCCCTGCACCAGGCACCCTGATCCCCCAGGCCCTCTCCTTCTCTTTTTCTGTAGGACGCAGAGAGTTCTGAAGCTGGTTCTGGCAAGAGACATTGGCTTATTGCTTGGCCTTTTTCTCCCTTTCTCGACAGGTGGCTATTGGTGTGCTCATGGTCTCGCAGGATTAGCTGCAATCACAAGGGCGTGCTCCGAGACAGAATGTGCATTTCCACACAGAGCTCAGCAAGGCGTGGTCTGAAGGAGACCAGGGGACGCAGAGCCACTGACTGTCCCTTCCTTTTGTCCCCAGAGCCTCCCAAGATGAACCCAGTGGTGGAGCCGCTGTCTTGGATGCTGGGCACCTGGCTGTCAGACCCGCCAGGAGCTGGGACCTTCCCGACGCTGCAGCCCTTCCAGTACCTGGAGGAGGTGCACATCTCCCATGTGGGCCAACCCATGCTGAACTTCTCGTAAGTGCACCCGCCTGATTCTGTGTGGGGACAATTCCAGGCTGATAAAAGACAGATGAACGCCAGGTGGAAGGTGCAGAAGGAACTTGGTGGTCATATTTCAGAAAGGCACCCTCTTCCTGCCCTGAACCTGGCACCCAGCACCCCCAGTGGGTAAAAATGGTACTTTTGGGTTTTCTTATGTGTTTGAAGATGCTATGCTGACCACAGAATCTTAGGCTTGTTAATCCAAACATAAAAATAAGTGCCTGTGCTCAGTTAAATCCCTCATCTCACGCTGCATTCCTGTATGGAAATCAGTCACCCCAAGGTTTCTGAAAATAAGAGGGCGTGGCTTTCTTGTAGACTTACTCCTGAGCTATTTGAGGTCTCAGAGAAGCTGTAAGTGTTGTGGTTCAGATTCTTACTATACAAGAGAGGAAAAGTCCTTTGGGGTCCTACAGCTGAATCCTCCCCCACTGCCCGCTTAGGCGCACAGCAGGGCAAACAGTGCTGCTTTTCAGGAGGCAGCTCCCCGTGCAGGTGAGGCTGGGGAGGTGGCTGAGGACATTTTTATTTACAGAAGTAATACACGTTTTGTAAAGTTTAAACAGTAAAGAAGTATATAAAATACAAAGTAAAACTCTATCCCCCCCCAAGCTCCACTGTACGATTAATTGTATGTTAAGAATCTTATTAAATTAACTTGATACTACTTGTATAATGCCTGGCAATTTCAGAAGGACTTAGAAGATCTTATTGTTTTAAGAAATATTACTTCAGGGGGGCTGGCCCGGTGGCGTGGTGGTGAAGTTCGTGCGCTCCATGTCAGCAGCCTGGGGTTCACGGGTTCGGATCCCGGGCGTGCACCGATGCACCGCTTGTCGAGCCATGCTGTGGCGGCACCCCATATAAAGTGGACGAAGATGGGCACGGATGTTAGCCCGGGGCCAGTCTTCCTCAGAAAAAAGAGGAGGATTGGCAACAGATGTTAACTCAGGGCTAATCTTCCTCACACACAAAAAAAATTACTTCATATCTTTTTGTTTTATTCTTTATTGAATGAATGAGGGGAAAGTAATATTCTGCACATAAACCAAAAGGTAGAAATTCTGGATAACACAGAATAACTGACAACAGTAAAAAGCAGTCTTTTTAAACTATAGGTACAACACATTAGAGAATTTTGTGCCTAGCATTAATTAATTTTCTTTTAATACCAGTCACTCAATTTTGTGAGTAGCACTAAAAGAAAAATGAACAAGAAGAGAGTAGAAAATATATATTTTGGCAAATAAAATGGTATATGTGTGTGTGCAGTAGATGATCATCTAAAATATATTTCTTCTTGGTGGTTATGGTGGAGAGAGGGCATGCCCCACTTAGTAAGCTGTAGCCACCAACAGCTTATCTATTGTGGCCATAGATTCCTACAGCAGCTCGGCTGCTGGTAAAGTTATGTGAGTTGGTTTTTAGTTGTGGTTAGTGCTCTCACTTCAAGATGCAGCTGTCTCTTACTGACCACCATGAACTTGGAATCACGGCACAGGCTGATGGGAGACTATATCCTGACTCAGTGCCTGCCCTGTTTCTTGCCATATGAATTGATTGGACTCCTAAGCAAGATAATAGCTCAAGAGAGGAAAGGCCTGGTGTTCAGGTGGGATTTTACTGCGTTCATGGAGTGCCCAGGACTGAGAAGTGTGTGAGGTGCTGGGGCTAAAAGGGCCTTGGAGGAAGGATATACCCCAAATTATAAAGAACAGTTTCCTATCTTTACAGTCATGATTAGTCATGGTCAGTCAGAAAGATACGCCCCGAAAAAATGCACATGGAAGTGGAGGGGGCGGGGCAGGCGCAGGGGGCGGTAGACTAGGGTGGGGATGCCAGGAGGAGCTGCTTCTAGGTCAGAGGTGGAAAGTCCTGGTGCCCCTGGCGGCCAGTGCCTGCACACGTGATCTCGTGTCTCCTGTCCTGTGTCCTTTATAGGTCTCTGTGTTTGCAAGTGAACAAGAAACGCATTACATTATATTCAGTGGGTGGGGTGCTTTATAAAGTGAGAAGAGAGCTGTCCACAGAGTCTGGCACTCTCTCTGGTGGGCATCGGGTCCCTGGGGCTTCACCTGTCCCGATTGCCTGTCCAGGTTCAATGCCTTCCACCCAGACACGCGGAAGCCCATGCACAGGGAGTGTGGCTTCATCCGCCTCAAGCCCGACACCAACAAGGTGGCCTTCGTCAGCGCCCAGAACACAGGTAACCCTCCCTCACTGGGCCGCCCCAGCCTGCCCTCCACCCACGCTCCATGCGTGCTGGCCAGGTGGTGGCCAGCAGGTGAGGTGGCATCTGCCTCCTGCTTCCTTAGTGACCTCTGAGTGTGTTGGTGCTCACGGACCCGTTTGTGGAGGAAGGTTGAGACTCAGATGTGGTCCTGAGGGGGCCTTTCCGGGCGGGAAGTGTCAGGGCTTTGGACAGGCTCAGAGGGCTGGCAGGAGAGGGCCTGGCAGGTGGGGCCCAGGGGCCCTGTCCTCAGTCTCTGGGCCCGGGGGTCTGCGGGAGGTGGGTGAGGCCATAGGAGGGTCTCTGAGGACCAGTTGATTTTCTTTTCTCCTTAGTTCCATCCCTTAGTTCTTTCAGTAACAGCACCCACCGGGCTTGCTCCCGTCTGCGCCACTGCACACAGGGCTTTCCTGTGGGGATGGAGCTCTGGAGGAGAACCAGAACAAGGAACATCACTGTCCAGTTGAAAGTTCTCTGTCTGGAAGTCTGCTTTGTCCCCAGTGGGAGGTCATCCTAAAATAGTTAACCAGGTTCATGAATTAGAAATTACTCAAAGCCCACTTGCCTGCCCTTTACCTTGCTCACTGGCTCAAGTGAGTCTCACTTCCTGGAAGCAGGTGGACGGTCAGGACTGGCCCAGCCTGGAATGGAGCTGCCCAGGGCATTGGCAGGCTGGAAGTCCGTGGGCAGCCAGAGGGGCATCTGTTCCCCTGGCCGCATTTCCTTCCTCTCAGGTGGCCAGGGCAGGGGCAGGGCTGGGGCCAGGGCACCCTGGAGAGGGCGACCCTCCTAGATTATCTGCCCTGCTATCAGAGGAGTTGTCTCTTCCCTCTTGAACCGGGAGGTTCACTGCAGGCAAGGGGACACGTTGTTGCCTCAATGGCTGCAAAGTTCAGATCTTTTGAATCTTTGATCATAAAAGATGGTAGTCGGAGCTGCGGCAGCTGAGAACCGGTGGCCAGGCTTCTGTGGACTGATGGTCCTCCCTTGCAGGCATCGTGGAGGTGGAGGAGGGCGAGGTGAACGGGCAGGAGCTGTGTATCGCATCCCACTCCATCGCCAGGATCTCCTTCGCCAAGGAGCCCCACGTGGAGCAGGTGAGCCCATCCAGCCAGCCATGGCTCTCAGATGTCACTCCCGTGGTGTACTTTTATTTATAAATGGGATTACGCATTGTCCCCTGATGTGGATTTTGCTTTACTCTTTATCTCGGAGACCTGTCCGTCTCCACTGTCACATCATTCTTTCTCACTTCTCACACGTGCCAGGCTGGGGGTGTGCTGTGGTTTAATTATTTCATCCCTAGCTGCTGGGAAGTTAGGTGTTCTCAGGTTTGTTGTTGTTTTTCCACTTTTGCAAATATATCCATATCTATTGGATAAATTTCTCCTAGTTGAATTGCTGGGTCAAAGGATAAATACATTGTAAATTTTGGTAGATGCTGTAACAATTACATTCCCCCGGCATCACATGAGGGCACCTGCTTCCCTGCTCCTTTACCAACATGGCATATTTTCAGACTTTTTGATCCTTTCTAATCTGATAAACAAAAGATGGTATCTAATCATGTTTTAAATGTAACTTATGGGTGAGAGGGAGCATTCCCCGTGCTCACCAACCATTTGTGTTTCTTGTTCTGTGTCCTTGATGTTTAGAGGCATTGCCTGTTTTCTATGCGTTGTCATTTTCTTATTGGTTTATGAGAGCTGCTTATACTGTGGATATAAATCTGTTGTCTGCTGTGTGTGTGACAGACATTTCCCCATTCAGTGGCTCATGTTAGCTTGGTTTATGACGTGTTTCACCCACAGGTTGTAAGCTTTGCTGGAGTCCCCTCTGGGGGTCTTTTCCTTTGTGGTGCCTTCATTTGGGTTCTTGCTCAGGAAGGTGTTTCTACTCGAAAATGACAAAATTATTCTCCCATTTTCTGGGACTCTTGTAGCTTTCCTTTTTACATTTAGACCTTTAGTCCCTCTTGGATTTGTTTTTTACATGATGCAATGTACAGTTCTGACTTTCCAGATGGGTGACCAGTGACCCCACAGATCTGAGATGTCATGCCTGTCTTAAGCCACATCCCCAGAAATAGAGGGCAGGGGTTTGTTTCTTTTTTCTTGTCTGTCTCCTTCTTCACCAATAGTAATTTAAAATCATCTAATAATTTAGGATAATCATAGCTTTATGTTGTATTTTAATATCTAGGGAAAGCTCTTGATATTCTTTTCTCTAAATTGTTTTCAGAAAAAAACACTGCTTTTGGGAAGAGAAAGACAAACACTGTATGATCTTACTCATATGTGGAATATAAACCAACACATGGACAGAGAAAACTGGACTGTGGTTACCAGGGGCAGTGGGGGTGGGGGGTGGGCACAAGGGGTGAAGGGAGTCATATATATGGTGATGGACAAACAAAAATGTACAACCCAAAAATTTCACAATGTTAGAAACCATTAAAACATCAATAAAAAAAAATTAAAAAAAAACTGCTTTTGATCGCCCAACAGCCTGAACAAGCGCCACTTTCAGGTTTTAAAAGCTGACGTTTGCTTCCAACCCCCCTCACTTAAACAAGTGTCCATCTGTGGCTCAGATGGATCTGTATCCTGATGATGCTTTAGCTGTAAAGGCCGACTTGGGGTGACCACAGAATTATTTGTGAACTCACCAGATTGCTAGTTGTCACCAGAGGCCGTAGGCGCTGAAAGAGGTCTGTTGTTGAGCCCGAGTGATGCAGTGTACAGCTGCCTCTACTTTAAACCCTTACAAATAACTGTCGTTTGAAGAGGAAAATAGCACAGGAAATTTCATCCAAGGGGCTGCAATGCCCAAAGGAGCCTGAGGGTGGCTCTTGGGGAGCCTGTGCACTGGCACTGCCTTTGCTGGCTTTGGCGCTGAGCGAGCCACTGTGACAGCTGATTGTCATCTCTGAGATGGGGCGACGGTACTCTGGAAGCCACACTCTGTGAGTGGGAGTTCTCCAACGATGCGCTCCTGGGGTGGTGGGCACAGGGTAGCCCCTCGCCTGCTCTTCCCAGGGCAGCCTCCTTCCTGGGACCTGGGGAGGGGCAGCCTCAACATCTGTCGGGCATGGTGTCTGCCCTCAGGCCTGTCTCCCTTCTCTTGCTGCCTGCTTCTTTCTGCCGAGTTGCTTACTCTGGAGCAAGATGGCTGTTAGGGGATTTTCACAGATTTTGGCACAAAGAGACAGAGCCGAAGGCTGAGTGAGAGGCCACGATTGAATCACCGTGCAATGAAATGGGGTGTGAGTCCACGTGGTGTGGCCAGAAGCCGCTCCAGCAGTGCAGAGACAGATGGCTGTAAGATGGCAGGTAATAAAGCCCTTTTGAAAAGGCACATCGACCTCAGGTGCTGATTTGTAATAGGTGACTTTCGGCCTCAGCACCTGTCAGGTGGGCTCGGAGTGAAGGAGAAGCAGCGGTCTCGCACTTGTCCTTGGAGAGGCTCACGAGGGGAGTGTCCCACCTGAACGTCCCCGCAGAGGCATTTCCTTTGCCGCCCATCTGTGCTCCATCTGCACAGTGTGAAACTGGGCATCCAGCGTGAGGACGAAGAGCCAGCAGACACCATCAGACCATGTGCCACCCACCGTGTGTCTCCACGTCAGTGGCAGGGTGGCCCAGAGAACAGAGCCCTCCGCAGACCACGAGCTCTGAGGGGTGACAGCCACTGTCCTGCAGAAGCTGTAGCATGTGGGACATGTGCTTCATTTCTCTCCACTCCACTTTCGTTTCTTTTGAAAGTGATTTCAAGGGTAAAAGCCTTGTTTGTTTTGAAATGAAATTCCAGAATAAATAATGTAGAATTAAAGAAGCTACTACAGCGCGAGAGTGTTTACCTCGTACAAGTACACGAAGCCTACCACCTGTGTGTTTTCTGGTTGTCCTACTTGTTTTCTGGGTGCCTTGCTCGCTCCCTCTTGCCTTCTGAGATTGTTCTGTTTTCCTCTCTGTGGGCTTGTTTGTTATACATTCTTCTTCTGTCCTTTCAGTGATTATCAGGGGAGTACCACCTGTATTCTTGGTTCATTGATGTTTAATAGAACTTAGTACTTGGGCTACTTCTGGACTATGGCAGGAGCCCCAGGACAGTGCTGCTCAGACTATGATGTGTGTGGGAGTCTCCTGGGACTCTTACTAGAAGGTCAGTTCTGACCCGCTGGGTCCGGGGCGGAGCCTGAGACTCTGCATTTCCAACAACGCTCTGGGTGCTGCTGATGCTGCTGGCGCTCGGAGCTCATCTTAAGCAGCAGAGACTCTGAGCGCTACCTGCACTCCTCCTCCCCCTCCCTTGTTTGCTTGTGCTGGCACACCCCCCAGTCCCCACAACGCACCGTGACCACCGTGTCTGTGGTCTGTGTGCACCGAGCGGTACCCATGTGTTCACTCCATTTGTTCCTGCATCCCCCTGCTTCTCTCAGAGATCATTTGCCTTAAAACTTGAAGAACATCCTCTGGTATTTTCTTTAAGGGAGTGGGGAGTCCTGCTGGCAGTGAACTCTCTGTGGGTTTTTTTGGTGTGAAAATGTCTTCATTTTGCCTTCATTTCTGAAGGGTGTTTTCACTGCAACAAGAATGCTAGGTGACGGTTATTTTTATTACTTTGAAGATGTCATTCCATTATTTTCTGGCTTCCATCCTTTCTGTTGAGAAATCAGTTGTAAATCTTGTCAATCTGTGAAAATAATGTTCCCCACCCCAGCCCCAGCTACTTCCAAGTTCTGTTTGTCTTGTCTTTGGTGATCAGCCAATGTTTTTTTGTGATATAATTTGAATCTGTGGCTTGATATCTTTAGTTAGTGTTATAAAATTGGCCATAATCGCTTCAAACATCGCCTGTATTCCATTCTCTTTCCTCTCTTCTTCTGGACTCCGATTGCACATCTGTTAGAACTCTTAGTGTCCAGTGTGTTTCTTACACTTGCTTTTGTCCATGTTTTCCATCCATCCTTCTCTTCTAGTTTCAGTTTGCATATTTTCCACTGACCATGCTAACATCTGCTAATCCTCCTCTTTTTTTTTTTTTTTTGCTGAGGAAGACTGGCTCTGGGCTAACATCTATGCCCATCTTCCTCTACTTTATATGGGACGCCGCCACAGCATGGCTCGACAAGCGGTGCATCGGTGCGCGCCCGGGATCCGAACCAGTGAACCCCGGGCCGCCGCAGCAGAGCGTGCGCATTTAACCACTTGAACCACCGGGCCGGCCCCCCAGAATTTTCATTTTATTCTTTTTGACTGACTCTAATTCTCTGCTGAACTTCTCCATATGGTTTTCTAATGACTCCAATGCTGACGTTCCCATCCTTCACCCCAGAGGAGGGCGTCCATTTCCATTTCCTGTTTTTCTTTTGCTCTTACCTCCTGTAGGCTAAGTAGTTTATTTTCTTTTTCTTTCTTGAATTCTAAACATCATGTGTGAAAAACTGTAGTGATTTAAGGTGTTGTTTGATGTTATCTCCCACCAAAGAGCAGTTCTCATGCTCTGGTTGTCAATGTACGGAGGGCAGATGCTATTAATAAGAGATTGAGCTATTTTGGAACTGGACTTCTCAGTCTATTTCTGGTTAACTCTTACTCCTGGGGTGCAGCTCTTCAGGGTCCCGACCAAAAACCTGGCTGTCTTCCTTGGCCTCTCCTTCTAGAGGGGCACTGATTGCAGAGTGCAGCACAGCCCCGTGGATCCTAGAATCCCAGCCCAGCTTTCCCGGCTAGCACTTCCCTCCTGGCCCTACCTCTTGGCCCCGAGGCAGCCTCTTACAGGCAGCACGAGCCTCAGGGTGAATGGTTGCTGCACGGTGCGTTCCCTCGGGACTCCCTCTCTCTGGGACTTTGGTCCTCGCTGCCTTAGTGGGTGTCTGACGCCTTTAAATAGACTCTGAGGGCAGAGACGCAGCCTCTCAACTGCCCAGCAGCTTTTTGGGTTAGCAGCATGACGGACTCGCGTGGCATGTCATGAGCACCGCCCGGCCCAACGTGTGCCCGCCAGGCCAGCTGAACTGCCACTCATTTCCCCTGGCTGGTCTGGGGGTCCAGGCACTGCCTCAGTGGCCACTCTGCTGGACACACAGACCAGGCCACACTCCACACCCCAAATGCATGTCGTCATGAGGGCACCTGCCATACTCCTGCCATGGCCAAGTGGTGCGGGGCTTCAGCCACGCCCCCAAGCATCTGCGCATCCCCACAGCTACCTTTCCTGAACAAGGAGTAGATAATCTCCCACCTAATATATCCACCGGCATTTATTATGGTTGGGCCAGTGTTGGAAGTAGAGATGTCCATAAGATGGCGGAACCCATACTACAAGAATGTGAAAACGTCCGTGGAAACTGATACCATGTGTATGGGGAGATCCTCAGCGTGGCCATCATCGGCTACCTCAGACCAGAAGAGAACTTTGATTCTTAATAGTCACCTATTTCAGCAATTCAAGGTGATATCAAGGAAGCTAAGACACGACTAGATTTACCAGAACATTTGAAACTCAAAGAAGACAATTTCTTCCAGATTTCTAAAAGCAAAATAACGAATGGCCACTGATGAAAAATCATCCTATTTATTCATTCACTGTTTTCTAGTATTTTACTGCTCATTACAGTGCAGTCTCACCTTGGATATATTTTAAAAATCAAACATTTTCCTACAGCTGTGAATTAGCTTAAACAGTACAGTGTAGTTACCATATTGTGCTTCAACTGTTCAATTAAACCCCTCATGCTACAGTGCTGAAAAGATTCATTTTAAAAATCAAGGGGCCGGCCCCATGGCTTAGCGGTTAAGTGTGCGCGCTCTGCTACTGGCGGCCCAGGTTCGGATCCCGGGCGCGCACCGACGCACCACTTCTCCAGCCATGCTGAGGCCTTGTCCCACATACAGCAACTAGAAGGATGTGCAACTGTGACATACAACTATCTACTGGGGCTTTGGGGAAAAAAAAGGAGGAGGATTGGCAATAGATGTTAGCTCAGAGCCGGTCTTCCTCAGCAAAAAGAGGAGGATTAGCATGGATGCTAGCTCAGGGCTGATCTTCCTCACAAAAAAAAAAAAAAAAGTAAAAATCAAGACTTTTTTTGTGTGAGGAAGACTAGCCCTGAGCTAACATCCGTTGCCAATCCCCCTCTTTTTGCTGAGGAAGATTGGCCCCGGGCTAACATCCATGACCATCTTCCTCTACTTTATGTGGGACGCCACCACAGCATGGCTTGACAAGCAGTGCGTCAGTGTGAGCCTGGGATCTGAACCTGCAAACCCCAGGCCGCGGAAGCAGAGCTTGTGAACTTCACCACCATACCACCAGGCCAGCCCCTAAGACTCTTTTTTATGTAATGTATTGATTAAAATGTACCACTAGAAAGGTCTTAAGTGTCTTATGATGGAAATGAAATGTCTGTGAGTACGAGTAGGAAGGCAGGTCACTGTGATCTCACGGTCAAGTCCTGCGTGTCTGTACGTGTACAGCGTGTGCTGCTGAGCAGGAGGCGATAAGAGTCATGGATTAAACGGAGGTTTGATAGTTTACTCTAAACTAATGGGGGATGTCCAGACTTTATATTTGTGATATTTTCTGCCTTATTGTATTATTATAGACATGAAGACTTGTGAAATTTCATTTTAATTAGTCATTTCCTTAATGGGGTCAAATCATTGTTCTGTCTTCCGTTTTACAGCCACCGCAGTTCTAATTGGTCTAGACGCCCTCTGCCTATCATTTTTTGTTTGTCTTTAAAGCAGTAAAATGAGTGTGTTTTGAATCTCTAGGTCTCATTTTTGTGTTGTAGAACACCTCTCTCTTCTTTTTAAGAGTAGATATTTGTCAACGTTTTTCTTGACTTTTCTTGATTCTTTTTTCCTTTAAGCATTTTTCAGTGTCAGTGTTTTTTCCATTTAGAATATCCTACAACTGTGCACTTACAAAAGATTACATCTGTATCTACCATTCCATCCCTTCACTATAAGAATAGTGACTATGTGCATATCTGTATTGCATTTAGAAAAACCCCCAAAACTTCATCTGTAGGGTTTCCTCAGAGTTTAAATGAACACATAGCAGTTCTTTTATATGTACCAGTTTCTAAAAGAACACAAAATATTTGTTTTCCCCCTAAGGAAACTATTTAAGAGCCAATTAAACTATGAAATAGAAAGTTATTCATTTTAATGTAATTATACATTCCTGAGCCAATGTCAACTGTTGCAATTGTGTGCACTCGATGTAATTTAATGCTAAAGAGTGCTTGTAGCTTGGGGGAAAGGTGTAAAAAAGTTTTAGTTAAATTATCTTCTAAAGAAATAAATAAAGAGACTCTTTGAAGTCTAGCTTTTCTGGTTTTTTTTTCTGCGGGAGAGTTGGTCAGTTACAAAGTAGTTGGCTGTGGCCCGAAGCAGAACTCCTGTTTCTGGAGCCCCTGCCACCCATGTTCTGGACCACGAGGGAGTAACGACCACAAGAGTTGTCTCGGCAGTTGTCATGCTTCCACACTCTCTCTCTTCAGACATGCCAGGCATGTCAGAGTTTCTCACTGGGGGATGTTGCTACAGGTCTGTATTCTTATTGGAAAGAGCCACCATAATTTGTTCTGGTGAATTAGTGGTTCCAAAAGTGTTGTTCCTGAAGTTTCCAAGAGCACATGTGACATCAGTTCAAGTTGCAGAGTGCCAAGTGGAAGGAGCGCATTGGAGGGTCAGCTTTTGTCTGATCAAATGTCTAATTATGGAGGCCAAAAAAAAAGATGGCTTCTAAATAGACTAAGATGAGACCAGTTCCCGTGTTCACCTGTCGGTCTTCTGGGACAGCTGAGGGGCAGGGAAAGGGGCACAGGCCGGGGGTCAGGACACCTTGATGTGGCATGCCCCATAGTGGCTGTGGGCCAAGTGTCTGTCATCCACTGGTGGGGACACTGCCCAGCTCACAGGCCTCTGAGGACTAAGGTGGCAGGTCACAGCCTCTGCAGGAGCACTTGGCCTATGGCAGGACCTCAGGCATTTGCTGAATCGTTGGAAGGTTAAAACTAAGGTGTTTTGTATTTGTTTTGTTCTGCTCAGATTACCCGAAAATTCAGGCTGAATTCTGAAGGCAAACTTGAACAGACAGTCTCCATGGCAACCACTACCCAGCCCATGACTCAGCATCTTCACATTACCTACAAGAAGGTGACGCCGTGACCCAGAGTAGAGCATCCTCTCAGGCGGGGCCTGGCACGTGCGCGTGACACTTCGGCTTCTCAGCAGACGCCTGCAGCAGGTGTGCGTGTGGCCGCAGGTCTCCGTGGGTGCAAGAGTGTTGCCAGTGTTCCTGTAATGGCATAGAAAAACCAAATAAAAGGCCTTTATTTTTATGGCTGAGCATTTTGGATATTATCACTCGTGTAGACTGTACATTTCTTTCATCTGCTGGTGACTGTTTTCCAGAGTCTTTTCCCTAAAAAATTAAGAAGGGTGACTCTCTTTTTCTCGTTCTCTTTTTCTTCCTGCAGTTTTGACAAGATCTAAAATATTGATAGATCTTCAGTAAAGTAGCCCATAATCTGAAGACAAGGAGGAGACAGAAAGAGTTGCAGTTATTTTCTCGGTATTTTCAAAGAGCCCTGGAGTCTCAGGACCCCATTTCCATGGACAGAGGGCGTTCCCAAGGCGAGAGGATGGTTGTGAATTTAGCATCACTGTGTAAAGTTTATTTTATTACACTCATATAATATTACTTTGATTTGTTTGTTTACTGTGAAAGTTTCCAGACATACACTAGCCCCTCCTGCCTGTCGCCAGCTTTAATGCTTACCAGCATTTCCTCATACCAATGGTTCATCTATTCTGCCCCCTTCTTTTGATGGAGTATTTTAAGCAAATTCCAGACATAATGTTATTTACCCCTAAATGCTTCGATATGCACGTAAAAACAAAACAAGGCCTTCTTCTTTTTCTTAACACACCACCATATCAGAAGCCACATCAGGAACAGAGAGGTTCTGTGCAAGGAGGTGGGGTTGCCGGTCCCTAGGAGCTCAGAGGAGGGACAGGGCTGGTGCTGAGCCCTCAGAGGAGCAGCGCCAGTGCGTAAGGAAGTCGGCTGGTACCCCAGGTGCCCAGGGAGCATGGGGAGGCCGGTGCTGGGCATGCCGTGGAGGAAATCAGGTATGGGAGAGACTCAAGGTACAATTCGTCTGGAAGCAAACTCCCTTCCAGCTGTGAACCTGTGAAGCCAGACAAGTTATGTGCTTCCAAAATACAATGGTGGGGGGCCAGCCTGCTGGCATAGTGGTTAAGTTCACGCGCTCCACTTCAGCGGCCCAGGGTTTGCAGGTTCAGATCCTGGGCGCGGACCTACACACCGCTCATCAAGCCATGCTGTGCTGAGGTCCCACATACAAAATAGAGGAGGATTGGCACGGATGTCAGCTCAGGGCCAATCTTCCTCACCAAAAAAACAAAAACAAAGTACAATGGTGGGACAGAAATGGGATGGACATTCCCATTCCAAAAGGAAGTAAAAAGAAAGGAGTGACAGGTCCTGAGCAAGTCCAAAACCTTAAGCCTCCAGAATAATCTTCTTTGGCTCAACGTCTGCCCTCCAGGCCCACTGGGGTGAAGGTCCTGCCTTCCAGACACATGGGGCAGTGGTCCTGCCCCCACAGCATTGCTGAGCACAGCCCACACTGCAGTTCTCATGGGTCAGAGTCATGTGCCTCTTACTGAACGACGTTCATTTTGCCCATCGCACAGAAAGCCAATCACTGAAATGATGAGTTTGCTGCAGAGAAAGGGTTTATTCATAAGGCAGGCAAGCAAGGAGACAGGAAAACAAATCTCAAATCCACCTCCCCAAAAATGCGGACTAGGGATATTGATGGGGTTGGGAGTAAGGTGGTCTGAAGGGTGGGGATAGATGATTGGAGGCAAGGAAGAGTGAGGTAATTGATGATCAGCACAGACATAGTTAAACTTCATTCCTCTTCATAGGATGCATGTTCACAAAATGGTGGGGCAGGCATGATCTGGGGATGGAGTGTTTTGCTCCCTGATGTCAGGAGTTCAGCAATTGGGCACCCTTGAAGGCCCAGTTGGTGGGTTCGTGGTCTCAACCAGCCTGAACTGGCAGGGAGTCAACTCCTAATCACTCAAAAACAGCTCAAACACCCATTACCATGGTGACCCAGGCACCAGGAAGATGTTATCTATAGGAACCTAGTGGGAGTTAGACAGTATATTGCGTGAGCAGCATAGTTAACAATGGGTGGGAGAACAACTAAAAGCTATAATTAATAATTGCAAAAAAAAGCTTTAGTTGATAACTACTTAGTCAATGGCTAACTGTTCACTGGTTTCATCTGCAGCTCTCCTGAGCTAGAATAGCACACCACTGGCTCTATCAATCTAGGGTCACCCTAGTGGGGGCTCTCTGCAGTGGCCCTACCCATGTGGGGCAGGGATCTCTGCCTGGGTTGTGAGCCCAAGGCTCCAGGCCACTCCATCCTTCAAAATCTAGGTGGAGGAAGCAGAGTCCCCATGGCTCTTGCATTCGGCACACTGCCAGAGGTGGTACCTCGTGGACAACAGACATCACCAATGTTTACTGCCTGTACCCTCCAGAGGGGCAGCCACCTCTGCCTGTGGCACAAGAATGCTGGGAGCAGAGCCTCGAAATCGAAATCGGTCTGCTCCACAGGCTCTTATACTCTGGGCCTGTGATGGCAGGGGCACCCCCGTGATCTCTGTAATGGCTTTGGGATCATTCTTCCATTGTCTTCGACAATAGGCCCTAGCTTCTGTTTAGATAGCTGACTAATCTCCCATTGTCTTGACAAATGGCTCCTAGCTTAGTTGAGATGGGCTGTCGATACTAATCTCCTTATCAAATTTGGCCACATACTTTGTATTCTCTCTGAACAAACTTTCGCATTACTTTCAATATGGATAGGCTGAGAATTTTCCAAAATTTTAAGGTCTGCTTCCTTTCTGATTAACAATTCCACCTTTAAATCATTTCTCTCTTCTTGCATGTTACTGTAAGTATTCAAAAGAAACCAAGCCGCTCCTTCCACACTTTCACTTTGCTTAGAAATTTCCTCAGCCAAATATCCGATTTCATCACTCACAAGTTCTACCTTCCACAAAACTAGGACACGAACAGTTAATTTAGCCAAGTTCTCTGCCCCTTTATAACAAAGATTACCTTTCTTCTGGTTTCCTAGAACCTGATCCTCATTTCCATCCGAGTTCTCATCAGGATGGCCTTTACTGTCCATGTTTCTGTTACCGAACCAGGTTCGTTTTTGCCCCTTGCCCTGAAAGCTAAACACCAAGACAACGAGATTGCAGCAGAGAGGGGGTTTTAATCACAAGGCAGCCAAGTGAGGAAGTGGGAGAACGAGTCTCAAATCTGCCTTCCCCAAAAATGGGGGCTCAAGGATATTTACGGGGTAGGGGTCAAGGTGGTCTGAAATGTGGAGCTAGATGATTGGAGGTAAGGAGAGGTGAGGTAATTGATGATCTGTGCAAGTGTAGTCAGACTTCACGCCTCTTCATAGGACAAATGTTCACAAAATGGTGGCATTAGCATGACCTGAGGGTGGAGTTTTCAGCCTCTTGACATCAAAAGGTCACTTACCGGACATCTGCAAGGGCCCATTTGATGGATTAGTGGTCTCAACCGGCCTGAACTGGACAAGGGGGTCCTACTTCCTGAAAAACAGCTCAAACACCCATTACCATGGTGACCCAGGCTCCGGGAGATGTCATCTGTAGGAAGCTAGTGGGAGTCAGACAGCGTGTTGCCTAAGCAGCACGGTTAACAATGGGCGGGGGAACACCTAAAGGCTACAATCAGTAAGAGCAAAAAGGAAAACAACTTTAGTTGCTAGCTACCTAATCATCAATGGCTAACTGTTTACCAGTTTGATTTCTACCAACATTCTATTCAGGACTACTTAGGTATTCTCTAAGAATGCTGAGTCCTCTTCTCTTTCTGGGCTCTCACCAGAATCTCCCTTTCGGTCCCTTCATGGCAATGTGGGCTTTTTCTAGCAGGCACCTCAAAACTCTTCCAAACTCTAAGTTCCAAAGCCGCTTCCACATTTTTAGGTGTCTGTTACAGCAGCACCCCCACTTTGTGTGTGTGTGTGTGTGAGAGGAAGACCAGCCCTGAGCTAACATCTATTGCCAATCCTCCTCCTTTTTTTCCCTTTTTCTCCCCAAAGCCCCAGTAGATAGTTGTATGTCATAGCTGCACATCCTTCTAGTTGCTGTATGTGGGACGCCACCTCAGCATGGCCGGACAAGTGGTGTGTCGGCGCGCGCCCGGGATCCAAACCCGGGCCGCCAGTAGCGGAATGCGAGCACTTAACCGCTAAGCCACGGGGCCGGCCCCTGCACCACCACTTCTCAGTAACAATTTTCTGACTTAGTTCAGAAATAAGTCAGAAACTTATTTCTGTAACAAAAATACCATAAATGAGGTGGGAGGGGCTTATAAACCACAGAAATTTATTTCTCACAGTCCTGGAGGCTACAAGCCCAAGATCAGGCTGCTGGCCGATTTGTTCTGGTGAGAGCTCACTTCCTCACAGATGGCCATCTCCGCTGTAACCTCATATGGCAGAAGGAATGAGCTGGCTCTCTGGGGTCTCTGTTACAAGGGCACTAATCCCAACAATGAGGGCAGAGCTGTCACGTCCTAATCACGTTCAAAGGCCGCACCTCATACCATCACTTCAGGGGTTAGGATTTCAACATATGAATTTGGGGGAAAACAAAGATTCCGACTACAGCATCAGGGAACCTGGACGCTGAGTTCAGAGCTGTCAGCTGCTAGAGCGATGCTGAAAGAAGCTGGGAGCATCAAGGAAGTCCCACTCCCCCTCCTGCATCCCAGGCTCCTCCTCCCTGCTCGAAGCCAGGAGGGGGTCTGGGAGGGCAGCCCCCAGAGCGGGGCATGGAAGGTTCAGCTTGGAGCTGCGAGATGAGGAGCAAATAACTGACAAGGTCATCTGGTCGTCTCCCCCTCCCCCTGACATTTAGCTCCTGGGAAGCTGGTCACTAATCCTGGAAGGCGTCCCCCGTCTGGATTCTGGATTCACCTGGGTTCCTTGTAGCGTCTGACTTGTTCCTCCATGCCCTCTAATTCCTCTAGTCTGGAAGTTGGATCGAAAGTTCTGACCGGATACACACTTCCTAAGGGGGGTCCAGGCCGTCCTGTCCCCACACACCAGGAGCCTCACTATGTCTGCTTGTCTCACTCTCCTGATGCTAAATGAATAGGCTCAGATGGTGACCACCTGGGCCCTTTAGTCTCAGGTTCCCATCAGCCTTTCACTGGAATGTTTTGTCCCCCGTGGGTGACCATCGCCTGAACCAGCTCCTCCACCAGAGTTGTGGATTGGTTTTCTGACTCTACTGTCCCTCCTGCATTCAGTGGCTGGAATTCTCGCCCAAGAACTTCCCTCCATCCATTAGGCTGTTGGGTTACCCTGAATTAAGTTCATACCTGGAAGCCAGCATAAAAGCTTAATTCTTTCTCTTAAATTGTCAGTTGTCAGAGTAAGAATGCCCTGGAACCTCGGCGATGGGCGGTGGGTTGAGCTATTTCTCCCACCACCACCCCTCCTCCTCCTGCTCCTGTTAGGAACCCAGGACCTTGTGAATATTTGAGGCGATTCTAGGCAAGTGCAGTCTTGTTCTTCGACAGACAGGAGGTGCTCAAATGATCCCAGAGTTGGCCAGAGAAGCCCTCAATCCCTTGATGCCCTCCATGCTCGGCGCCACAATCCTCTCCCCCGTCTCCTGCCCCAGAGCCCGGCTCCCTTTAGTGGGGGTGGGAACCTGAGACCACAGTCGGCACTGGTATGCTCGGCATGCCGGCTGCTCTGCTTCCAGGCCTTTCCCCGGCAGAACCGGAACGTGGGTTTATCATTTCCTCATTGATTTTCACTGAACTGTGTGACGTTACCTTGCAGAGATCATGGCCCTCCACCCTGCTTTAGGGGGGATATATGCATTTTTTAAGGAAAAAAAATTATGTGTCTATACTGTTCCCAATTCAAAATTTAAGATTATAAAATTTTTCACTTAAATTCTTTGATTTTTATCTCTTTTAACATGAAAATCTTGGTTCTCTACATTATTTGCCATGTCCTACAGGATGCAAGTAATTATTTTGGAATAATAATACTGTTCGTAACAATAGGACTACTGATTGAGGTTTGGGTTTTTTGCTCGTTTTTACACCTTTCTCATTGAAGATATAAAGTTAAAATATATTATAATTGGAATAACTGATTGCTCTGGGTGCTTATGTCACCCACTTGATGTACAAGCTCATTTGTTTAATTTCTACAAATTGACTGTTCTCGTTACCTTTGTCTCCATGACTTTATTGTCAAAAGTGTAAGATCAGGTACATTTTACTCCACACAGGTGTATACAGCACAGATAGGCGACCATCCCACAGGTGACCCAGCAGATCCCCTAATGCTGGGCATTCGTGATGTCTCCATTCTTTTCAATAATCAAAGAACGTCACAAGGAACAACCTGTGTACCTATCATTTCGGTTTTTGCCAGCATATCTTTGGGACAGATTTCTAGAAGTTGTAAAGTCGTAAATGTCCCAAAGGTAAATGTGTGTATGACTTGTCCCGTCCCCACAGGGACCGTGCCATTCTGCATCCCCACAGCGTCATGTGAGGTGGCTGCCCCCACCCACAACAGAGGCTGTGGGCAAACTTGGACTTGGGCCAACCTAACAGGTGAGAAGTGGGATCTTGGGGTAGTTTGGGTTTGCATTTCTTTTATTTTTTGTCTTTTCCTTCTTGATTTCTGGAGCTGATGAGCTCTTTTGAATTAGGAATATTAATCCTAATATTCCTAATTTTCAATTACAATTTTTTTATTACACTAAAATGCACTCTTATAAAGTTCACCATTTTAACCATTTTAAAGTGTATTAAAAAAATAAAGTGTTCACTCTAACGGCATTTAGTACATTCACAATGATGCGCAACCATGACCTCTCTTTACTTCCAGAACGGCTTTCTCACACCAAAAGGAAACCTCATCCCCATTAAGCAGTCACCACTCCCCCTGCCCCCAGCCCTCCCTGACAACCACTAGTCTGTATTCTATCTCAAGTTACAAATATTTTTGAAAACATTAAATGTTATAGTTTTTTCTAGTACATATTTTGTCTCTTATTGTTCCTAGATTTTAAATCATATTTAGGGAGGTTTTGCCCACACTCCACTTACAAAAAAATCACCCATTTTTTCTAGTACTTGTCTCATTTTTTATACTTAGCTCTTTGAGCCATTTGGAATTTGTCTGGGTGATAGTGTGACATACAGGTCCAAGTTAGTCTTTTTCCGAGTGGTTGGTCTGTTGACAAGCATCCTCTCCCCACTGGTATAAGCTGCTGCCTTCATCACACACTTGTTTTGTAGGCCCTGGGGTCTGGCTGCCCTGTGTCCCTGGGCCTGTTGGTCTGCATCTGGCCAGCTGCCTCACAGGTCAGTGACAGAGACTCGGCAGAGGGATGGTTCAGCAGCAGGTAGGCCTCGTCCCTCCTCATTTTTTTTTTTAAGGATTTTCCTGGCTATTTCTGCTTTTTAAAAATTTTCCTCTCATCATTAGCTTGTTTAGATCCAAGAAAAAAAAACACCATTGTGGTATTTTTATAAGAATTACATTAAATTTATAAATGTACTTCTGGAGAACTGTCTTCTCCATGAGCTGGGTTTCCTCTCCAGGAACACAGTGTTTCCTTCTGTGTTCATGCACCTGGCTGTCTCCAAGGTACATTGAAAGTTTCCTCACATTGGGCTTCACATTTCTCGCTTGGTTTATGCCGAGGAATTTACCTGTGGCTGTTGGAAATGTGGCGTCTGTTCCACTATATCTTCTAACTCAATGTATACAGACGACTGATCTGTTACTTTAAATCCTGCTGCTTCTCTCGATTCTCTTAGTGTTTGTAACGTGACTTTGGTACACTGAACACACGGAAGGATCTGATCCGAGGAGCGGATGACAGGAGGTGGGGCAGGAGCAGCCTCGGGCAACGTCCATCTCCATCGGCTTCCCCTTCCTCCCTTCCTTCTTCCCACCTGCCGTCACCGGGCACCTGGCCAGACTTCGCACTGCCACACTGTGGGTGAGGGTGTACCGGCAGGCGGGGCTTCCAGGAGGCAAGGGGCCTTCAGAGGCAGCACTCCCGGGAGGAAGCCGGGGAGAGCAGTCTCACGGGGTGATGGGGGGCGAGGTGAGGACGGGCTTCACCTTGTGTACAGTGGCCTCGTCCTTCAGGACTCTCGCTTCCTCGGAGGCTGGATGAGAGGGCAGGGCTGGAAGACCTCAGCAGTGGTCTGGCTCAACCCTGCATGGTACAGAAAGGGAAATTGAGGCTGAGAGGCTGGTCACAGCTCTCCAGCACTGTGTGCCTCTGGCCTGAGCTGGAGTCAGACAGGCTTGGGGAGGAGAATGTCCCTGTGTTAGAAGGCAGGGTGTGGGTCCTGCCCAGGACCCCGCCCTGCAGTGGATGGACAGGAGCTGGGCCTCTGAGCGGAGGGGGAAGCCATCAGTAAGGGAAACAGGAGGCTGTTGTTAGCAACATGAAAGGGTGAGAACGACCGGGACAGACTGGGAGCTGTGGAGAGCCGTGCTGCTGAGCAACCTGCCACTTGTTCCTGGTGTGTCTGTGCACGTGACAGTGTGAGTGCACATGCACACGTGAGTGTACACGCCACTGTGCATGCCCAAATGTGTGCACGCCTGTGATGTATGTGTGAGCTCCCTGTCGTGGCTCAATGAGGGAAGACATTGGGATCGTTCTGCGCTTCATACTCTATCACCCTGGATTCACCTGCCTCCTGTCGCATCCCTGGGCAGTCCCACGAGGATGGCACAAGGACAGCAGATGGGTCACTTCTGTTGCCGTCAAACTTTATTGGACTCAAACACACACACCATCCCTCTTGTTCGTGGACTCTGCCGTTCACAGGCAGGTGTGCCAGCCTGGAGCCCATGCCCTGGGCCCTGCCACTCAAGGACCCTGCCACAGGTACACAAGGACCCTGCCACAGGTGGGGGACACAGTCTCCCTCCAGAAATGGATTAAGCAACCAGCACATGAGGCTTATGCTCTGTTTGCAGGGTCAGAAGACCCCACACTCCTCAGCCGTGGCCAGGCCAGAGTCACCTTCAGACCGAATGTGCAGGGCCCACTGCCCACGAGGACTGAGGCCAGCTCGTGTCCTGCCATGGTCCCCTTCATGGATGGGACCCAGCGTCATGAGAGCTTGGTGTCCCAGCTCCCTTCCCTTGGGGCCTGGGAGGTGACCCTGACTTTCTGGCTCCAGAAAGAAAAGGGATGAGAAGAGGTTCCAGAAGAAGGGGCACAGTGGGGAAGGGCCACAGGTCAGCCCCGAAGCCCAGCTCCAGGCCCAGGGAAGCCCCTCTGCTCCTCCTTCCAGAAGGCCTGGGTCTGCGGAGGGGCCTCAGGGCAGGGCCTCCAGCTTCGAGGCAGGGCTCCAAGAGTCTTCCCAGCACGGACGGGGAGGAGGGCGATGCTTTCGGGGGCCAAGCACCTCCTGGGTCAGAAGGCTGGGCTATGGCCTCTGCTCAAGCTGGTGGCTCATCTCTCTGGCAACAGCACGAAGAAGGCAGCCTTCAGGAAGCGGCCGAAGCTGTAGAATGCGGCCACGAGCCAATGGGAGCGGAAGCCAGGGTCTGTGCTGACTACACACTTGAGGACGTCGGTCTGAGAGGGAAGAGGGGACAGTTAGAGAGCAGAGCTGGGAGAGGGCCAGGCCCCCAGCGCCTTGCACTGGATGTCAGCTGAGTCTCTTGAGGGAATGCATGAGGCCATTTAGGGAAAGTCTGTGGTCTTGTCTGGACTGAAGGCTCCACATGGGCCCAGCCCCAACCCTGAGGATTCAGAGAGGGAGAAGGGAAGGGAGGTGCTCACGGTGGGGAGAGCAGGCAGCTGGGCCAGGCTAGCAGATGGGACACTGCCGAGCAGGACAGAGCCTGCTGTGCCCCCAACACCAGAATTGCACCAATGTTCCCAGCTCGGCCACCTGCCTGCTGCCCGCAGGGGCTACAAACACCTGAGCATCCTGCTGTGGGGTGCTGTGGAGCCTGGGTACCAGGAGGGACAGATCCAGCTTCAGAATCTCCCTTGGAACAGGAGCAGGAACTGAGCTTTCCAGAGCCCAGTGAATGGCCACTCCTTATTTCCTTATTTCTTTCTATTCCTGCTAAGAAATGAAATCCATTCCCCACAGTCTGACCTTTGGCCATGGTGTCAGTCAGTGTCCTGGCCGCCCCAGCCAGGCTCCACGGAGAGGAAGGCAGGAGGGGACACAGGCCTCAAGGTCTCTGTGCTCAGGGATGCCCACAGCCGCGTGAGTCATTCTGGAAGCAACACCATCCCTGCCCCCACCCAGTGCCACCTTCAGAGGAGACCGAAGCCCCAGCCACTTGACCACTTGACCTCGACCCTTGGCTCTAACCACAGCTCCGTCACCTGTGGCCAGTGCACTTCACGCACCCCTTGCTCACCACCCATTTTACAGAGAAGGAAACAGATCTCCTATGGGTGGGGCCAGCCCCCTATGTCCAGGGCCCAGTAGCTCCCAAGGTTGGGGGCATGGAGACAGTGGTGGGGTAGGACTTTGACACCCACCCCTGCCTCATCCTGGCCCCAGAACCTGGCAGGGGGAGGGCAGGACAAGAGTGTTCTGAGCAGTGTTGGGATTTTCTCTCCGAGGGGGCTGAATTCTGCCTCTCCCAGGCCAAGGGGCCCAGGGCCATGGGCCACGTTCTGCCATGCAGAGGCTCTGGGGCAGCAAGTCTTTAGCACCGGAGCTGCGAGATCGGGGTCGGCACTTGCAGGGAGCAGGGGAGGGGTCAGCACTGGAGCTGGCAGCAGGAGCAGCCCTGGGCCTGGCAGCCCCAGCCCTCGCCCCCTCCTCCCGGTGTCCTCGCTTCTCCGCTCCTCCAACCCCTAGCACCGCGCTCCCCTTCCCAGCACCCCTGCACCCTGCACCCCCAGGTCCCCCCTCACCCATCCGCCACGCCTCCGCAGCCAGGTCGCCAGGGTCTTGCGTACAAACTCCCCAAGGCAGTCGACGAGAGCATGGACCATGGCGGGCTGGGCGTGCCGCACACAGTCCACGGCCAGGCCCGCGGCCACCAAGTATAGGGACACCACCTTGCCCCATGTGATGCCTGCGGGGAGAGACGGATGCTGGTCAGAAGGCCGCCAGGACCTCGGCTCGAGTCCAGACCTCAGGGTCATGCGAAGGGGCTGAGCCTCTCTGAGCTGCTCCCCCTGACATTCTGCTGATGACTGGGGTTGGCACCCAGGGTGCCAGGCCCTCCCCACAGCTCCCCAACTGGATAAGGTGCCTAGCCAGCTGACCGCCTGATGCAACCCCAGGCTTGTCTGTTCCCCTGAACAGCCCTGCAAGGGCAGCAGGACCTTGGCCGTATAAAGAAGCTGGCGCCCACAGGAGGGACGACCTTCCCCGGACCACTAAGCTACTGAGAGGTAGAACTGAGATGGAGCCCACCTGGGAGGAAAAGACAGATGGATGACAACCCAGGGAAGAACACTTGCCAGTTATACGATGTAAGTTTCCTTACTATAAAAACAGATTTTATAAATCAAGGAGAAAAAAAGAAACCTTTCAAAAGACACATGAGCATAGAACACAATCAGCTGATTCATGAAAGAAAAAAGACAACACACCAGACATATGAAACATGCTTGCCCTCACTAATAATCAAAGAAAGGTAAATTAAAACAAGGCGTGGATTGTAATCCGTCAGATTAAAAACTTAAATGGCGATGGGAGGATCCAGGTCGCTCTGCAGCCCTGTAACTGATGGGCAAGACAGCTGGAGAGCACCTGGCAGTTTCTGGGAAGCACAGAGCCTGCACGCCCAGCAGCGAGGGTCCTTGTCGGCAATCGCCCGAGGAAGCGGCGTGTGCGGGGACCGAGCGTGCCCTTCAATCCACCTTCACACAGCAGAACAATTGCTATAAAAACATAAGCCAGCTCAAAGAAGCCCTTGTCCAGGAACATCCACAGCAGCCCTGTTCGCAATCGCCAAAAGGTGGAAACGACAAAACCTCCATCAACTGTGAATGGAAAAACAAAACGTGGTCCACACAGACATTGGAACATTAATCAGCCAAGAAAAGGAAGGAAGCATGGAGGCACGCTACAACATGCATGAACCTCAAAAACACGATGAGGGAAAGAAGACAGACTCAAAAGGCCACCTACAGTGTGAGAGTCCATTTTTACGAAATGTCCAGAATAGGCAAATCCACGGAGACAGACAGCAGATCAGTGGTTGCAGCTCTGGGGGAGGGGGATGGGGAGTGACAGCTTCATGGGCACGGGGCATTCTAGGGTGATGATAAGCTTAGAGAGGTGGTGGTGGCACAGCATTGTGAATGCACTAAATGCCACTGAACTGTACACTTTAAAATGGTTAATTGTGTGTTACATGAATTTCACCTCAATAGAAAGAAATTTTTAAAACTCCATAGATCAGACCATGTCTCTCCCCTGCTTAAACCCTATTACTGTTACTTCGCATCTCTTTCAAAATAAATCCAAGTCTGAAATCCCATGGGAGCTGGTCCCCCGCCCCTCTCAGACCTGTTCCTGCCACCCTGGCCTCGCTCATGCTATTCCAGCCTTATTGCTGCATGCAGCACACTCCCAGCCCCCAGGGCTCTGCTCAAGGTCCCCCCTCCAAGTGCCACCCAGGCCATCAGGGCATCAGGTCCTGGGGACAGTGCCCTCACGCCATGCTCCCCATTTACTGCTGCTCACGGGGCGCCAGCCCTGGCAACGGGCTCTGTTCTCCTAACAGCTGTGGCCTTGGCCTCCCCAGGCCCGGCACCCAGCAGGTACTCAACACTGCCAGAGGGCAGGTGAAAGGCCACCGCAGGAGGGTGGCCACGAGGAGCGAGACGTCTGGACTGGCCAGGGGATGAGCACCACAGTCCGTGGTGCCGCACGGAGAGAGGTGCGCACTGTCTCCTGAGTTCCATGTGATAGCCACATTTTCAAGTCTGCGGAGAAAAGCAGCGATCTGGAAGGTGCCAGCAGGGGTGGTCTCCAGGGGCTGGTCCTCGGTAGGTCCTGTTTTCTTTGAGCTGTTCTGTGTTTTATTTTTTTCGTAGATATAATCTCATTACCATAAATTCATTCCTTTAAAGTGTGATATTCAGTGTTTTTAGCACAGTCACAAAGTTATACAACCATCACCACTATTGAATTCCAGAACATTTTCATCCCCCCAGAAAGAAACCCATGAGCAGTCAGCCCCTCTCCCCCAGCGCCTGGCAACCACTAATCTACTTTCTGTCTCTGTGGATTTGCCTCTTCTGGACATTTCATACGAATGGAATCACACACTCTGTTCCACTTTGCGTCTGACTCCTTTCACTCAGCACGTCTTCAAGGCTCATCCACGCTGTAGCATGTGTCAGCATTTACTTCCTTTTTATGGCTGAAGAACGTTCTGCTGTGTGGATGGACCAGTTTGCTCATCTATTCATCAGGTGATGGACATTTGGGGTGTTCGCACTTTTCTGGCTGTTAGAAATAATGCTGCTCTGAACATCCGTGTGCAGGTCCACATGTGTGGACACATGTTTTCATTTCTCGTGGATAGATACCCAGGAGTGGAACTGCTGGGTCATGTGGTAACTCCACTGGAGCTAAACCATCAAAGAACTGACAGCTTTCCAAAGCAGCTGCTCCATTTTTCATGCCACCAGCGGTTTATGAGGCTGCCAATTCTTCACATCCTTGCCAACGCTCGCAGCTACGTGACCTTCTGATTGTCTCCATCCTAGCGGGGATGAGGCGGTATCTCACTGAGGTTTGGATGTGCGTTTCCCTGGTGACTGAGGATGACATCTTTTCATGGGCTGACTGGCCATCTGTACATCTTTCTTGGAGAGTCTATTCAGATCCTTTGTCCATTTTTAAACTGGGTTATCTTTTCAGTAGTAATTTCTGAGTTCTTTACCTTCTGTATTTTTGGTGGTAAAATATTTTGCTCTTGTAATATGAAGAAAAAAATGAAAATTCCTGCCAACTTTTAATTGGGGTGGGAAAAATTAGTTTTCCAATTGAAGGGAACTGAGAAGCCCCAAGTGCAAATTCAGCCAGGAGCAGCAGCAGTTGCCTCTGCTTTCGAGGGGTGCTCGGCCACTTGGAGAGGCCACCACGGAGCCCTGCCCTGCAGGATGCGGGCTGCCCACATCACTAGCCATAACTTCAACCACAGCCAGAGCCAGAGAAGGCAAGGCCAGGCAGGGCCTGCACCCCACGGGGGGCCTGCTACTAGGAAGAGGGGCAGGAAGGTCCAGCCTGAGGGTCAGTGTGTGCAAGGCCTGGCAGCATGGGAGGGGCCATGGGCAGAGAGGGCCAAGGGCTGGCAAGCACCTGATGGCTGAGGCTTGCCCTGGGGTGAAAGGGTTCAAGGACCCTGAGGGCTGGGATGGACGAGGGGTGTAAGGGAGACCTGGAGCAGCAAGCAGGAGGGTTGAGGGGCAGCCACCCAGTGGCTGAGGGGGATGATCTGAGAGCCGGTTAGCAGCAGAAGGGGGCAGACCTGCAACCCCATCCATGCTCCATGGAGCCCTGCTGCTGTTCCCTTATCAGGTGGCTACGAGGATCAGGGAGGTTGAGAAACCAGTTGCAGGTCTCACAGCCTGGGAGGGGACGGCTGCCCCAGAGCGCCACAGGGGCAAGTGCAGGTGTGGAGGCTGCCACAAGAAAGGGGCAGGAGCCGGCGCAGCACAAGCCTGCCGGCGCTGGGCGGGGTGGGGTGCTTGAACACGGAGGGCTATGTTCTGCTCCAGTTTCAAACGAAAATCACAAGATTTAAACTGAACTCTCTAAAAGTGAACTAAGCTGCTGTGCCCTGTGCCCAGTCTTCAGGTGCTCCCACCTTCCTCCCTGCCCTCCCCCGTCCTTCCCCTGTTCCTCTCCCTGCCGGGCCCAGCTCATCCTCCCAGAACCCACAGCCTTGCTGGGCACCTCTCAGGCCTGTCCCTGCACTGAGGACGGCTGGGCAGGCAGGGGTGGGGTGCTCTCTCCTGGCCCCCCATCCTCTGTCCCCTGCCCACACACTCACCACCACCCAAGGGCCCAGCCCCCACCTCCCCGCTCAGTCCCAGCCACCAGGAGGCCAGAGCTGTGTTCTCAGAGATGAACCTTCCTTTTAAAACCAGCCCTCGGCTCGTAAACCAGCCGCCTGACGCCAGAGACAGACACGGGTGGCCACCCACCCGGCCACCCACGCGCCGGCGTCAGGCCCAGGACGCAGAAGCCCAGGGAGGGCCAAGGGTGGTCGTCAGCCCGGGATACCAGCCAGGCCCTGCTGCTTCCTTCCTGGGCCCCACCCACTGCCTCCTCTACCAGGCGCCTGCCAGGGGCACCCGCAAGGGTTGCCCGCCACACCCCCCAGACTTCCCCAGGACCCAGGTCAGGACTGTTAGAACACTCTGGAGGAGCCTGCCCCTCCCACCAGCCCACCCAGGCACCTCCCTTGCGACATCCTAGCCGTGGTGACTTCTGCCTGGGAGGTCAGCACTGACCCAGTGTCTGCCCTGGAGGAGGCGGATTCTGTAGCCTGGCAGGTCCCGTGGCCCTGGTGGTCCCATGTGCCCACCGCACAGGCCACAACTGAGGGAGGCCCTGCTCTGCCTCTGGTTTTCCGGCCTGCCCACCAGGGGTCGGAGGAGCCTCCTTGGGAAAGGACGCTCGCTGGAGGTCAACGTGGTCACCCCAGGGGCCAGGGTCGCAGGGCTGGAGGCCTGCCTCTGATGGGCGGCGGCCCCTCCACTCGGCCTCCTTTTCTCCGCTGAGCGGGAGAGGGCTGCGTTTTCAGGCAGTGGGGACTGTGGCTCCCCAGCACCCTCTGCCCTAAAGCCCTGCTCTGCTGCTGTCCCAACCACCCTACAGGTGAGGAAACTGAAGCCAGAGAGACAAAGGGTGTGCCGAGGTCACACAGCTGGTCAGCGACAGACGCAGACCCGCCTCACAGACAAGGGGGCATGAGGCCTCCCTGCTGCCTGCAGCCTCTCCTCCTGCAGCAGACCGTCTTCCAGAAAGCCCTGGGGGAAGGTGGCCCTCCCCACACTCAGACGCCACAGCCACAGCCACTCACACCCCCACTGCAGCTCGCACACAGCCTCCGGAATACCCTGGCTCCGGGGCCCCCAAGCTTCCCCTCCCTGAGGGCTGGGACTGGCCAGCCATTCATCACAGGGTCCCCGGCCCAGAGCAGCGCCCAGAGGGTGCTGAGGAAGCATCTGCAGGGCTTGCTGACGAGGAGGTGATGCATGGGGCTGGGGCTTCGGTCACCTGCAGGCAGCCCCTGCACACAGGGACGAGACGAACTCACAGAGCGTGGGGCGCTAGGACAGGACACAAGGTCACAGGCAGGGAGATGAGGTCTTTGGACAGAAGGGAGCCCAGCAGAGATCCAAGGACGGGATGTGGGGACAGGAGAGGGTTGGGGAGATGAGTCCTGTGGCCTCCCATGAGCCTGGAGGCAGGTATGCAGACAGGAGGCAGCAGGAGCTGAACTGGGGTGAGGGCACGGTGGGGGGTTGGGGGGGGGAACAGCAGGAGCAGCAGATGTCACCTGCTCCCTGGGCACAGATGGAGGCACAGGGACATTCACAGATGAGTGTGGGCTGGCCAGGTGAGACAGGTGTGTCGCTATTCTCCAAAGACGCCCCAGCGAGCCACTCCACCCTTTTGCATCCCTCTCCTCAATGTGGGGCTGCCCCGTGACTCGCCTTTGACCAACAAAATTCGCCAGAGTGACACCATGACTTCTGAGGCCACGTCATAACAGCCTGGAAGCGCCCACCAAGGCTGCTTGGGACGCTCCCCCTTGAGACCTGGTGCCACTCTGTGAGAAGACCAAGCCCCACAGGCCAAGCAAAGGACACGTGTGGGACAGCCTGGCATTGCTCCAGCCAACAGCCAGCACCAACTGGCAGCCCGGGACACACAGCCCAGCCAGGACTTCAGGTCACTGCAGCCCCAGCTAATGCCCAACCAGAACCACGTGAGCGGTCCCGTGGCAGCTGCCCAGTGGGCCTGTTGTCCTCAGAACCGGGGGAGGCACCATACAGCACTGTCTGAGTCGCAGTTCTGGGCTGGTCTGTGACGCAGTGGGAAGGCGGCTCCCGGACCAGTGGGGGCTATTCCGCCACAGGCCCACCAGGTGCTGCAGCACCTGCCCTGATCCACAGACCCTGGGCCACGCTGGCACTGTGTGGGCATCCTGGGGGGATGCACAGGCCTACCTGCAGAGAAGATCTGGGCCGACACGGCCAGGAAGGCGTCGGTCACCACAGTCTCAGACTGCAGGGAGATGTTCAGCTGGCGCGCCACGTTGCGGTAGATGCTGGGCCGAATCAGCTCCAGCTCGTCCCCTGTGCCGTCACATAGTGGGTCAGAGATGGTCCACACCTGCCTGGCCCCAACCCCACTGTCACACGGGCCTGGGACCAGCCCACTCCTCATCCCTGTGGCCACAGCTGGCTCAGGGACCCTGTCCCTCACTGACCCAGACTCTGACTCTCACAACCTATCAGATGGGGGACAAGGAGATGAGGGAGGTGTGATGGGCACCCCAGACCTGCCTCTGCAGCCCACTCCTTCTGAGAAGCCAGCCATCCCCCCACCCCCCAATCCCGGGGCCAAGCTGGCTGGGCCGGTGGGGCGGGAATCCCAGGGAGGAGCGTGGGCCGTGCCTGATCGGTGACTCATGGCCCACAGTGAGCTGCCCAGGCGGCAGGCAGACCGGGCAGGCAGCCAGAGCCCAACATGGGCAGGGACTTCACCGGCAATCCCACATAGGTGGGAGGCTTAGAGGGAGGTCCTTGCTCAGGCCCCAGAACTGCTCGCTGAACCAAGAAGCTGAGCCATTGCCCGCGGCTGCCAGCACAGCCCAGGCTCAAACCGGGGCCCCTGGTGCCAAGCGGGTGTGTCTGGATGGGGTGGCCACACTCAGCAGAGGAAATGCCCTCTCAACGGCCCTGCCTGCCGCGTGTGCTCGCTGGGGTGCCCCTGGCAGCGATGTGTCAGGAATTCCACACAGCCCTCGGACTGGGTGTCCCCCAGCCCAGACACTTCTCTAGCCAAAGCCAACAGGGAAATGCTGCCGACTGGACGGTCCCGGCCGATAAGGGCGCCCGCGTCATCCCTGGGGCCAGCTGCTCTCCATCTAATTAATTAAGAACTGGAACTGGAGCAGAACTGAGACAAGGCCGGCACAGCGATGGGGGGAGGTTGATGCCTGGAAATTCCTGGGACTGGCCTGGCCGTTCCCACACACAGAGCTCAGGGGCTGCTGGGGACTGGGCCCCAGAGGCTGACCACGGGGATGCGACCCGGGCTTCTTCCTGTTGGCCACTGCCCCAGGAGCTGGGCGTCTGTGCTGAGGAGGGGCTGGGGGCAGGAAGACAGCACCAGGCCGTGGAGGGGCTCATGCTGAGGGCACTGCTCTTGTTCAGGGCAGTGAATGGGACATAAACAAGAACACTGTGGCGTCCCAACCATCACCCTCTGGGGCCCCCTTAGCCATCTGGCAGGGGCTGAGCCCCAGGGACTAGACATGGCAGGGACAGACACTGGAGAGGGGCCTTGAAGGCCCTGCTCCTGAGAGGGCCGGTGCCAGGCGCTTGGCTCACCCCTGCTCCCCGAGCCCAGGCCTGAAGCATCTGGGGCTCTCAGGGTGGGACGCTGAGGACTGAGGGGACAGAAGCTGGCCTGGTCAGATTAGCAGAGCCCAAAGCAGGGCTATTCAGACAAGTTTAAATATAGGGACTCCAGGCCCAGGGAGAAGCAGCCCCAAGATTCTGCTCACAGACAAGGAGACGGAGGCTGAGGTAAACAGGCTGCAGAGCAGGCCAGGACAGAGGCAGGCCTTCCTCCTGGCCCTCCAGGGGTCTGCGGGGCTCTCAGGAGCCCAAGGAACCATCTTTTCCAGGGCCCTCTAGAATGCTCCCCCCAGTGTTGTCCCCACAGCCCAGCTGGAAGAAACGGCGATGGGCGGCTGACCTCTCGGGAGTCCAGGCGCTCCGGACCCCTGGCTCATGGCTCAAATCCCACTTGCTCTCCACACCTACAAACCTCTCCCCTCCCCCAAGGCCCAGGTGGGATACTGCCCTTGCAGTATCCTGTGCAGTCCTGTGCACTGGCCGCTGGAATCTGTGTCTCCTCCCCACTACACACTCCTGGGCAGACCAGGTACACAGAGCCCTACTCCCAGGGTCCACACAAAACAGGGACAAGCAGACACCGGGGTCAGCCTGAAAAGAGGCAGGGTGTTCCCTTTAAGGGGTGCTACCCCCAACCCCAGATCCCGGGCCAGCTTCTCCCCACACTCTGCCTGGAGAGCCACCTGGTCAGGCAGCCATCTCTGCTGCCACCCCCTCCCCAGGTGCCCACTCTTGGCACCCAACAACGGTTTATGGATGAGCAACTCAGTCCTTGTGGTGAGGACTGACTGAGTCAGCTGGGTTAGTCCCTCCCTCTCTGGGGTCCAGACTTCGGAGAAGATGGAGACAGTTATTGGGCTGTGTGTGACCCCAGAAACAGTACCCCCAGGTGTCTACACAGGACTAGCTCTCCAGGTGGGATTTTGGCTACCCAGCCCAGCTGGTTTTGGCTCTCTGGGAGCACCAAATTTCCGCAGGGAGCCTAGGAGGCCTCCAAATGAATAGGAAAGAGCAGTGGATGGCAGGATTTCAGTCAGTAACTGCAAAGACCTATTTTCCAAAACAAACATAGGGACACGTGGTCCAACAAAGGATTTTTGTGCCCAGCTGAGTACAAGGGTCACTCTGGAAGTTTAGCCACCATAACATTCTTCCCAAAGCGTTCTATCCTTTAGATACGCTAGAATGTCTGAAATCCGGGTTTAGCAGGCATCTCCCGGGAGGTCTGTGCGCAGGGCAGCCTGAGGGGGTAAAGGGAGGAGCATGGAGGAATAGGGCGAGCTTCGGCCTGGGTGTGCCTGCCCAAGCCAGCCCCGTCTCTGCCCGAGGGAGACTGAGGCCCAGCAGCGGGAAGCTGCTGGCCCGATCAACCGGCAGGCGGGCGAGTGCGGGGACAGCTGTACCCCGAGGCACAGACGGTCCCGCCCCGCCGACCAGCTCAGGGCGGGTAGCCTGGGGACCCCGCCCGCCAGGGCCCCACTCACCCAGGCGCAGCAGCACCGCGCACACCTCGGCCAGGCGGCCGCCGGGGGCAGGGGCGGCGCGCTCGGGCGCGCTCCAGGCGAGGCCGGCGCGCAGCAGACGCGCGTGCACGAACTCCCGGCCCAGCGCCTTGGCCTGGGCCACCAGCTCCTTGTCGGTGGGCGAGCGATCAAAGGCGTCCATGATCTCGGCGGCGAAGACCGAGGAGCGCCGCAGCACCTCCATGGCGGGGACGCGGGCGGGGGGCGCCGCACCTGCGGGCAGACAGCGCTCAGCCTGGCCTGCCCCGCCGTCCCAGCCTGGCTGGCGGAGGGGGAGGCCGGGCCCGCGAGGAGGGCGGGCTGCGGGGCGTGGGAAGGGGCGCGGCGGGCACTCCGATCGCATCCGCGCGCCGGGCCGGGGCGCACGGGGAGGCCGGGCTGGGCGCGGCTCTGGGGAAGGGCTGCGGCCAGCTGCGGGTAACCCTTCGCTTTTGTGCCCCAAATTTTAAAAACACGGTGTCACATTCTTTCAGATTCCGAATTCAATCACAAAGATCCCTGCGGCTGCCAGGGATAGGAAGGACCGCGGGGAAATGGCGATTTGCTCGCGCTCGAAGACGAGTGCGCGGGCGTTGGAGGCGCGGGCGGGGGGCATAGCCCAAACTGCCTGAACCAGCGACAGACAGGACCCCGGCCCCGCGCCCCGAGGCCACCCACCTCCACGCTGCGCCGTCCTCGGTGTCTGTTCCCGGCGTCGCCGTTCAAATGGCGCGGCCACCCGGGGATGCGACGCCGCTCCCGCCCTGCTCACCTCTCCCGCCGCATGTCGCGGGCGCGGAGGCCGGGGAGGGTTTCAGGCTTCAGGATCTGCTCGCCGCCGTCTCCGCCGATCTCGATCCTTCCATTCAAACCGGCGCGGACGCGCGCCCCGCCCCGGCGCCCGCCCCGTCCACGCCTGAGCCCGGTTGGAGCGCGCAGCGCGCGGGGCCTCCCGGTCTTTCGGGGGCTCCGGCGGCGTCGTCGGGGGCGAGGGGAGCGCGGGGCGCACAGCGCGAGTCTCCGCCGGCGAGAGGCGAGGCTGGGGCTTCGCCTTCTAAGGAAAAGGCAACCCCCGGGGGCGGAGCCGCGGCCGGAGCTGCCCCACCGCCTCCCTCTTAAGGAGGACCGAGCGAGTTCCTGGTGTGCACTCAGGAAGGGCCGCCGGGCAGGAGCTGTCTCCGCATGACCCAGCGATTATGAGCTAGCTCTGGCACCAGCCGCCTGGGTTCACACCCGGCTCCATTTTCTTATTGATACGTAGAGGTTCTTTATTCTGGATACGTGTGCCTGGTCTGACACATGGCTTTGTATTGTATTGAAGACACTGTAAACATCTTCTGCCGCTCTGGTTTGCTTTGCTTTTAATGAACGGGAGTTCTCAATGAAGTCCGATTTATCAAGCTTTTCTCCTATGGTTAGTGTTTTTTCATTAGGATATTCTGTTTTCTTTTTTGTTTTAGCCTTCATATTTGGGTCTATGATGGATCACAAATTAATTCTTGTGAATGATGTGGTAGGGGGTCAGAGCTCCTTTTTTCTATATGGATATCCAGTTGACCCAGCATCATTTATTGAAAAGACCATCATTTTTTCTGCTGAATAAGAGAAGAGTCCCCATCATAAATCAAGTGACTGTATATGTGAGGATGTGGTCTGAAGTCTTTTCTATTGCACTGGTCGATTTCTCTGTCCTTGAACCAACATCACACAGTTCAAACAACAGGATTAACCAACTTACCCAATTCATGTATATATGACACTTCACCCATGTTTTTTCCATGTGCACAAAGGATGCTAATCAAAACAGACAATTTCCTGGGCCATAAAGTCTCAACAAATTTCAAAAGATTGAAATCTTACAAGTTGACCTCTCTGAATTAAATTAGAACTCAGTAACAGGAAAACTGCTAGAAAACCTCTAGGTGCTTGGAAATGAAACTTCATACTTCTAAATAATCAATGAGTCAAACAGTAAATCTCAAGGGAAGCTGTAAAATATTTTGAAGTGAAAATATGATGTATCAGATGCCGAGGGGTGCAGGTAAAGCAGTGCTTAGAGGACAACTTATAGCTTTAGAGGAAAGGTTGAAAACTAATGCTCTAAGCTCCAACTCAAGAAGCTAGAAAAAGAACAACAAATTAAACCCAAAGGTGAAAGAAAATAACAAAAATAAGAACAGAAATTAATGAAACGAAGCAAAAATTAGAGGAAATCAACAAAGCCAAAGATTGGTTCTTTTAAGAGATTAATAGAATTGATTAACCTCTGGAAATATTGGGTAAGGAAATTCAAAACACAGATTACAGTATCAGGAATGAAAAAGATGACATCACTACAGATACTACAAACGTTAAAAGGATAATAAGAAGATAGTATGAACAACTTTATGACAGTAATTTTGAAATTTAAATGAAATGCAATTTACCAAAACTGACACTAGAAGAAATAGAAAATCTGGATTGTCTTATACCAATTATATAAATTTAATCCATAATTTAAAGTCTTGAGCCAGCCCTGATGGCCTAGTGGTTAAAGTTTGGCATGCTCTGCTTTGGTGGCCCAGGTTTGGTTCCTAGTCACAGAACCACACCACTCATCTATCAGTAACCATGCTGTGGCAGCCGCTCACATAGAAGAACCAGAAGGATTTACAACCAGGATATACAACCACGTACTGGGGCATTGGGGAGGAAAAAAAGAAAAAAGAGGAAGATTGGCAACAGATGTTAGCTCAGGGCAAATCTTCCCTAGCAAAAGAAAAAAAAAAAGTCTTCCCACAAAGAAAATTCTAGGTTCATATGGTTTCATTGAGGAATTCTTCTAAACAGTTGAAGAAATATCACCAACCTTACGCAAACCTGTCCAGAGAATAGAAAATGAGGGAACATTTCGCAACTCATTTTATGAGGCCAACATAATGTTGATACCAAACCTGTCGAGAACATTACAAGAAGCTGGGAAAGCTATGGAACCTCCATCTGCCTTGGCTTCCCCACCTGTAGAATAGAGAGAAAAACAATACCTGCTTCCTGTGGTTGTTGAGAGGACTGAATTAGCGAATCCGTGTAAAAAGTTGCTTGTCATGTGGTAAGTACTCAGTAATTGCTAGCAGTTTTTTTCAGAAAAGCTATAGAGCTCTAAAATGTGAGTGCGCATTTTAAAGGGCTCTTTCACGCAGAGGCTGAAGCAGCAGGACAGAGTCTGCTCCTGGTGCTGGGCTTTGGGATTCCCTGTATTTTATAGGCGAAAGTGTGGAAGCTCAGAATGGAAAAGGGACTTGCCCAAAGAGTTGCTGCAGGACTGGGTGTAGCTCGACCGCGAACTTTGGAGTCTGACCCCAGGGACCCTGGAATGTACCTCTGGCAGGGAAAGAACCTATGCCTGCAGACGGGAGACTGGGGCGCTCACTCTGGCTACCTTCCCACCGTGTGGCCTCAGGCAACTTCCTGTCCCACTCACAGCCTCAGTTTCCTCCTGTACACAATGGGATGCTGCTCTCTGCTTCCTGTCTCCTGGGGAGCATGGATGGGTGTGGAAAGACTTCATGTGCCCTGACATAGGAGTGAGCAATCACTGGGCATTACTGATAGACACATACGTTTAGCACAGACCCTTTAGTCCAGGAGCTGCCATGCCTGGATCCAGCCATGCCTGAAACCAGTGGACCTCTCCTAGACATTTTAGATCAGATCAAAGCCATGTCTCAGGATATTCAGTACAGAATATTGATAGCAGTGAGGAACTGGAAGTAACCCAAGTGTTTTTCAAGAGGGGAGGTTAAACCAATCTGGAGTATCCAGACCACAAACCCTTATCCAGACCCTCAAAATCCCCAGTCATGCTGGGGTCAGCTAAGGTCTTCCTATCCCTTGAGGCCTGGAGGAGGCTGGCCTGATCCACCCAGTCCCAGCCTCCAAGTCCCCAAGAGTGCTTTGACATTCCTTCACTCACCCTCGGCCCTGAATTTCTGCCTCTGTAGAATTTTTGCTCTGCACTCTTGTCTTGCATCTGACCCCTCTGTCTGCCCTGGTGATGACCCAGTTAGAACTCGGTCCCTGGTTGGCGAGGAGCCTTCCAAGTGCCAACACCAGCCAAAGTGGAATGAACATGGGGAGATTTGTTGATTCCTGTGACTAAAACCTCCAGGGAGAAGTCCACTGATTTCAGGTATGGCTGGATCTAGGAGTCTGTCTTTCCATCTGTGGTCTGTCTGTGCACCTTCATGATGGCTTCACTCTCAGGCAGGCTGCCCCTGAGTGATTGCAGAATAATGCCTGCTGCTCTCTGTCTACACCCCACAAATTCAGCCTTTCCAGTGAGAAAAAAGCCAGTCTTTCTAGGTAGCTCCTGGGGTTGCCCTGGGGCCAGTAGCTTCTGACATGGGCCAACCTCTGCACCAGCTGTGGCTAGAGGAGTGGAAGGTGCCAAGTTGTCAGGCCTGGTCACATACCTGGCCCTGGATGGGGTGCAGGGGCCTGTCAGCGCCACCAAACAGCATGGACGAGGGTGGGACTCATGAGCCCCTGTGGAAGATGACCAGGAGAAGAAGCCTGGATTTCCATAAAAAAACTGCTGGAGGCTGTTGTGTGGGTCACAATTTGGGACGCAGAGGGATCCATCACCCCGTGATCCCAGATTCAGAAGGTGAGTGGCAATACCTACCTCAGACATGGATGGGGTCTCTGTCTGGTCCCCCTACAGCCATGCAGGGGGGACAGGCACATGCAGGGTGGTGTCCCTTCCCTCAGAGCAAATGCCCAGGCCCCTGGAACGCCCTGTCTGCACCTCCAGAGCCTGTGCCGGCCTCTTCCTAAGCCCAGCTCAGGAGGGGCTGAGTGGCCAGTGTCTGCAGGGGCATGGACAGGCACGGACGGTCGTGGACAGGTGTGGACAGATGTGGATGGTCGTGGACAGGTGTGGATGGGTGTGGATGGGGCTGGACGAAGCTGGACATGTGGGGCTCACGTGAGGCCTCTGGCGTGCAGGGCTTTCTGTGGTGGGGAGGAGACTTCCTGGCAGGAGTCTGGCCTTCCGGACGGCCCCGTCCATGATGGAGCCTCTTGTCAAGGGTGAGGCCTGCGCGGTTCACAGAGCAGTTGCCGAGTTCCTCCTGTTTGCAGGCCGGGAACGCAATGCCCGCTGTCCAGGGACCCACGTGTGAGGTGGGCCTTCACCACAGCCTCTTCATTCTTCTTTCAAAATATATCCTGAGAGAGCCAGCTCTGCCTTCTTTGCTGCTAGCACCCCAGTCCAGGCCACCACCCCTCTCCTGTATGGCCTCCCCGCCCCCAACCTTTCCAGTCTACCTTGTGTGCGGGGAAAGAGTTTCCTTTCAAAAACAACCAGATACATCAGTGCCCAGCCCCCGCCCATGGTTTGACCCTCAGAGTGAAACCAGAGCCCTTCCCCTACTTCCATGGCCTCCTCTCCCCACCCTCCTCCTTGCTCTCGGGGCTCCAGCCACGTGCCTCCTTGCAGATCCTGGAAGACCCCAGCACTCTTGTGCCTCAGGGACTTTGCCCTTGCTATTCTTTCATCCCTGGATCTTCACAGCTCTGCTCTGTCATTTCCTCAGAGAGGTCCCCTCCTGCCCCTTGCCTCTCCCCGACCCCCACTAAAAGTTCCCTGCTCCCACATCCTCTCTGTGGTCCCCACAGGGGTAGCTGAGGACAAGGTGGGCCAGAAGGACACGAGGTGGAGCCCCCAGAGGTATGACACAGTCTGCTCCTCACACACCCCAGGTCTGCCCTCTCAGAAGTCCCAAGCATTGCTGACAGTGGAGATCTCATTCCATGTTATTTTATGTCTATTCTACCAGGCACAGCACCCCCTTCCCTCTGGGCAGATGTCCGCCTCGGGGCTCCCCACCTCCTTCCCAGGTTTTCAGCAGGAGTGGTGCTTCCCCTAGACCCCGGGGCGAGGGCTGTCTGTGCTGAGCACCCGAGTGGACTGAGCCAAGAGCGGGGCCTACTGCGACTGTGGCCCCCATCCCTTTCCGTGGGTCCCCCAAGTCACGTGCTTTTGGGGGAATGGGTT